ACGGGTTTGTCAACAAAAATGGGGGGGGGGGGGATGAACCTCTGGGCAGACTGGGAAAAGGAGGTGGGAGAGGGGGAGAGAGAAGGTGGGAGAGGGGAGGGGGAAACCTGGGAGGAGGAAGCTGGAAGTGGGAAGCAAGGGAAGAAGGGGGAGGGGAGGCTCAGGGCCCAGGGTTGGAGGTCTCGCCGGACCAACTTGATTTTCATGCAAACCTGCTCCTGGGTTCTCATGTGGTCTTTGGAGGCCAGGCTGGTGGCTATCCTGCCATAGTCGGCCTCATTCCTCCATCTAGTGAGGAGATCATGGACGTAGGGGGCTTCCCCCGCAAACCTGAATAAGGTCCATGTTCTCCACTCTGGACCAGGAAGGCAACTGCCTTCTCCAGCCCCTGTCAGGCTTCTGGGAGCTGGCAGACTGCTCCTGGGTAGTCGTGGAGGGCTGGCTGCCAGTTACAGTCAGGGGCCCCGGTGGCCACTGCTGGCTCTGGGCTGACAGGATTGGAGCTGGCACAGGCACTGTGGCCAGGGTCTACCCCTTTAGTGGCTCTGAGGATGGGGGAGAGGAGAGTAAGTTTTCCTGGTTGTGGCCGGAGTGGCCACCAGAGCTCCCTGGGAAGGGCTGGAGCCCCCCTATTTAGAATTAAGTGTCTACACAGCACTTAATTCAAAATAGCTATTTTGAATTTGGCATTACTCCTCATAGAATGAGGTTTATCAAATTCAAAATAAACACCCTGCTATTTTGAATTAAATTCGAAATAGCAGTTTGCATATATAGACGCTATTAAAGTGAATTTGAAATAACGGCTGCTATTTTGAATTAACTTTGCAGTGTAGACATACCCTTGGCAACTAACAAAAATATATAGTATCATGAACTTTCGTGGGTAAAACCCACTTCATCAAATGAGTTATATTATTCCAGAATCAGCAAATCTTAGATATATATGATTTAATTAGTTTGTGTACCATACATTAAAACATCTGATATAGTCTCAGGAATGTTTGCATTTTGAAGTTACAACGAATTATTGCCTTTTTTTTATATAATGTAAGGATACACTGCAACTGAAATGAAGATCCAAATATAGGTGAAGTTATTTTCTTCCAAGCTGAACCATGGAACAAAGTGTAATGACTACATATACAATAAAGCTAAAGACTGTTAAATCAATAGCCTGAGTGAAAGGACAGAGCTCCAAGGAAAATATTCTGAAGCGTGGCAAGGCTGAATTCCTGTTTCCAATATGTGTCTCAGGGTTATCATTCACACAAAGTCTGCTACTGCGCAATGAGAGATGAAAGTGACGATGTGATATACGGTTCCTTTCTAGCACACGGTTTAAACTTTGTGGATTCAGTGTGTGAACCCACTAGTCAAGCTTTCCAAATATTCATGCTTTTTCTTTAGCGATGTAAGCAGTTAGTTGACTAGTCAACTACCCGATAAGCTTAGGCTTATTGGGTAGTCGAGTAGTGACTCAACTAGTCGCTTCCCTCCCACCTTGCTGTCACTATCAGGGAGAGGCAGCAAGGAGAGGGGGAGCAGGAGCTGGCTTAAAAGCTGGTTCTCCCTAGCACTGTCTCCATGGAGGGCAAGGGAAGGCAGAAGCATAGTGGGGGAACTGAGTGTAAGCTGGGAATCCGCTGTCCCAGCTTGCACCCAGTCCCAGTCGCTGCACCTCTGCTTTTTAAATGTATTAAGAGCTGCCATGCCCATTCGCTTCTGCAATAGCGCAGGGCTTCCTCGCCTGGGCGCATGTGACCCTGTGCCTCTCCAGGCCAGGTTCGGGGAGTCCATCCCTCATCTGCTCCAGTGAGAGCTTGGGCTTTTCCTCCTGTAACTCCTAGTTCATGGTAACCTGGCAGCTCTTAATACATTTAAAAAGCAGAGGTGCAGCAGCTGGGACTGGGCCTGAGCAATCCAACTGTTATAGACTTTATGGGTATGTCTACACTACCCCGCTAGTGCGAACTAGCGGGGTAATGTATGCATACCGAACATGCAAATGAAGCCCGGGATTTGAATTTCCCGGGCTTCATTTGCATAAGCCGGCCGGCGCCATTTTTAAATGCCGGCTTGTTCGAACCCCGTGCCGCGCGGCT